AAAAAAAAAAAAAAAAAAAAAAAAAAACTAAGAAGTTTGCTGTCTCTTTCACATAAATTTTATTGCTGTCCACATATATTTACTATAACTAGTCCAGTTCAGAAACATGGGGAGATGCTGAATATATTTTTCCTCTCTCATAGCTGCCCAGGTCTGATGCCTCTGTACTAATTCTGCAACCATCAGAGATGATACAAAAACTGAAGCCAAATCAGACTCCAAAGCTCATTGCTGCCCTAAGCGTTGACCCCGTTACGCATCAAACAGAAACAATCCCGTTATCATCTTGGTACCTGCAGCTTGGCAGGGCTACAATGATGGGACCCACCCTGAAGACAAAAGTTCTAGAATCAGAAGAGCCCGCCCCAGTCCTTACCCAGCTGCCACTTGCGGGAACACATGGTCTCCATCATCCAGATGGGCAGGGCCGGCTCCAGCATGGCAATCCCCATGTTTGCAAAGCAGATGGATCCTTTAAGGGAGGAAGACGGTTAGGATGCTTCTGTTTTGGGTCTCAAGTATCCCCTACCCTTTCCAAACACAGTTAAACCCACGTGCCCACAGCCAGAATAATCAGCTCAGATACCCAGAACATCTCCTACTTTTGCAAGAAAAAGATAAATAATGGGTCAAGAGGTTAGTGAGAAGGGTTGATTTACTACTCTTATTATTATTATTATTATTAATTATTTTAAACAACTGGAATCCCAGAGTCATAAAGTTGGAAACTAGAGGGAGCCTTAGAGATCATTTGGCTTCAATTTATTAATGAAGCAACTTGCTTGAGGGCACCCAGCACCACAGGCCACTTCCAGACCACACAGACTCGGGCAACGTGGGGCTCCTGCACTTATGTTTCATTGTGCAATCAACACAGATATTTCTAATGATGCACTGGGGTGCCCCAAAATCCAGTGCATTCAACACAGATGTGCTGTTGAGGGATTTTTTTTTTAATCAACTATACATATAGGGTATCTCTGCAAATATCTATTATCAGTGTGTTAACCAGAACCCTTTGTAAATGTAGAACCAACTGGAAAAAGACACACGGAACTGTTCCCCATCGTTCTGGGAGCGTCCTGTGCTGTGCCCCCTGGAACCTCTAATTTACTAGAATCCCGATTCAAAGAACGTTGTGCAATCATGATTAAGGTGCTCACATAATGAAGAGAGATTTTTTCGCTCTTTGTGGCATTTAAAGGCAGAACACAGAAACGATGCTGAAATGAGGGGACTCTCCTAACCCACCTGTTCTGTGTTTTCTTAGATTTGGTATTTGTCTATATGCCATCTATTGATTAGGGCCAAACAGCCAAAGCTGTTTACATCTCTCCTTCGATCCAGAGCCCATACTCTGAGCCTCCTCCCTGTCTAACTCTCACACACCAAGCCAATATCCGCTGCCCTAAATCACCCAGGACCAGGGACCAGACAAGTGGGGACAGCCCCAGACCCAAAGCCTGCTGGAATTATTCACACTAGCCAATCCTAAGCTGTCTACCCTGCCCTGCTTTGCCTTTCCCACGGAAACCCCAATAAAGGATTTGGCATAGGCTCTCCCCTCGCCCCTTTCTGCCTCCTGACCAAACCTGGTGCTTCCTCATGTGGCCCTGAGTGACGTGGCATGCCCTCTAATTGCACTGACCTCTCCATGTCATCACTCAGCACCCCCAGAAATTAAAATCCCACTGGAACACACGAGATACTGCCTGGCTCCCAACTCCCCAGTGGAGGCTGCCTGGACCTGCTGGTGGCCTGACATTCAGTGCCGGGTGGATCTCTGTATTTCCGCCATGAGTCGGGGCGAGACAGTGAGGGTCAGAGAAAGCCTGAGGCAGGAGGGGCCCGGGCTGCACAGGTGCCCGAATGTCTGCCCCAGGGCGCAGGGAGTCGCATCTCTGGCCCCCTCTCTCACCACACCTCTCCTCATTCTACCTTGGACAGCCAGGGCTCCAGTGGCATCTTGCTGGGGGCACAGAGAGGTCCCCCTACATGAAGAGGTCACCACACCAGGTTTACAAGCCTCTGGCCAACAGGCATGACGGACAGGGTCTAGACCAGGGTTACACAGGTGCTGCCCTGACCAAATCCAGCAGCAGAAGACTGAAACGAAACCAGCCTGGGGTTCTGAATGGGCTGAATTTGAATGCCCACAGGCAGACGTGTGACCAGTCCACCCGGATGCCCCCCAGCCCCACTAGTGTTTGTGACCCCTGCTTAGACAAACCAATCCTCACTGGGTCTGACACCACACTTCAGGGCTGTGCCCTCCTGGCCTGGACCCAAGGGCCGCTGCTGACCACAGTATCCAGGCCCAGGCAGCACAAGGCTGGTCCCTTGTTAGGCAGCCCCAGGCCTGAGCCACTGGGGTGGTCTTGGGGGATAGTCCCTTAGATAAATGCAGCCCATTATCCTCCCCAAGAGCCATAGAACCCCAGGGCTTCCTTTGAGCCCATCTAGGCCAAGACCCCAAAGGCGTCATGACCTTCTTTAGCCAAAGGGTATTTTCCTCCGGCCTCTCTGCTGCTGCACAGGATGCCCTCTGCAGGAAGGGAGGTGCCCTCTTGGCCTTCTGCAGCTCTGCTGTCAGTCTCTGTCCATACATGCCACGGTGAATCAGACCGCCCACCTAAGAGGCCTGCAGTGAGGCCACAGACTCCTTCTGGAAGTTCAAAGCCAAACAATGATGGCCTTTGACACAAACACAGTGAGCAAGCTTGGCCCAAAGCAAACCTCCGTGGCAGGGCATCTCCACGACCCAGACATCTTTGCTCCAAATGAAAAACAACAAAAGAACTTAGCTGAGTGTCAGAAATTAACGATGGAAACAAACAATGTCTTGTGACATATAACCTCTTTGCCCTTTATGTTTTTCTACAGCCCAACATTTCCAGCAGCAAAATGAACGTTGGTCCTCGCCATTCACCCCTTGGCTGAGAAGAACCCGGAAGACTGAGGGGAGCCCCACCTGCGGCAATGAGGATGTACGGGTCCTTCAGCAGGGTGGTTAGCGGTGTCCCCTTCTGACTCTGCCAAGTGAGAAACAGGGGTTAGAAGGGTCGACATGGCCACCGCAGGCCCCTCCTCTCCCAGCGGCTTGGCTTACCTCTGGCTGTACCCGGGATGGCTGCAGCACAAAGAGCTGAATAGCTACGAGAGAAAAGAAAGGTGTGGACCCGAGCACCTGCCAGCACGGATGCCAAGGTCACAGCAGCCAAGGCCATGGCCAAGGTGCCCACGTGGACCCACTCACCTCCATCCAAGAGCACCAGGGTAGCCAGCACCAGGAACGGAGCCGTCTTCCCCACAAACTCGTAGAGCACACTCCCAAAGGGGGGGCCCACTGCAAGGAGGAGAAAGGGGGGCCAGTGCCAGGCCCGGGATTGAGCCCCTCCCCTAGAACCACCCATTTGTTTCTTGTGTTTTTCTCTCTCTACTTTGTTCCAAAAACTATTCGGGGTGACCAGCCTACATCCTCTTCAGTAGTGTTAAGTTGCCCTGGCAACTTCCTCCAAGTGGTTCTACACCTGAGACAGGGGCAAGAGACTAGAAGGGTCACCCCAAAAGTAAAGATCAGAGAGAAACAAGACCCGGGCCACAGAACTGCACTGCTTAAGGAGCACAGGAAAATGGGTCAGCGAGGACTTCGCTCCTTATAAACCAGCACAGACTGGAACCTGGGGCTCCCAAATGAAGGCCAGGAACATAACAGAGAAGGGAGAGGACCCGATCTCCTCTCAGGGAAGACTTGCCCTCGTTTGGAAGGTCAGCAGGGCAGGTGGGGAGGCAGACTCGGACGGTGGGAAGGTCCTCAGGTGTGATCATTAACTGAGAGAATGTTTGAGAGGAAGGATCTTGGCCAATTATCCTGTTCAAGGCTTCGTTTTACATCTGGGCCCAGAGGTCTGGGGTTTGTTTGCCCAAGGTCACCCAGCAAGTTGGGGGTAGAGGCAGGGGATGCCCACGTTCTCCCAGGTCAGGAAGGTCTCACCATTTTTCAAAGGCTCCATGAAAGTAGAGAATAACAAGGGGATAGCCGGGGAGTCTGGCAGTGAATGTGGACTCGCTGTCCAGTGCCAGACAGGCCCCTCCTCCCAGTTCACCTCCACAGCGGGCCTTACCCACCTAAGACCCCCATGGCCAGGCCTCCCAGGGCAATTCCCATGGCATTGCCTCTCTCTTCGTCATCTGTGTACACACTGGCCAGCATGCCCATCCCTAAACAGGAAAAGAAATCATGATAGCCAAGCTCTGGGAGCACCAAAAGAACAATCTATGACTCGCCTTCCCTGTCCAGCCCAGACCTGCAATCTTCCCAAACCCAGCAGATTAACAAAAATATGAGACCAAGCAGAATCCAAGAAGGAGGCAGGTACCTCCTCCAAGAACCCACCACCAACCACCACCACCAATACCTTGATTCTCTCAATTATCCAGCTAATCCTGTAAGGGGCCAGCCAGCCAAGGTAGTGCTGGTGGCCCCTCTGACCAACCGAAGCCCCCCAGGGCACTGACTTACTCAAGTATTCCCCACCTACCAGCTACAGATGAGCATGAGGAGCCGATGCCCTGTAGCGACCTGGCGATGAGCAGGAAGGCGTAGCTGCTGGAGAAGGCAAACACTGCGGAGAGGACAGGGCCAGCACCGCACATCAGTGCAGGCTGCGGATGCTGCGACCAAATCATCCCAAGCAGCGGCATTTCTGAAGCCCTCCCTTAACCTGATGGTGCATTTCCACATTAACCACGTTGTGCTTTTGCTCCACGAAGACCTCTCTCTATCGACTCCTTTCTGCAGTTTTGCCAATACACAAACTTTCCAGGTTGTATTCTCAATTTCTAGCTCGTGGTCCTGAGAGCCCTCCCGGTGACCCACACTCAGAAGACAAACATCAGGCACTTACTAATTGTTGAGATAAACATGATGCAGAATCCCGCAAACATTGGAATTGGATAGCCGATTCTGCAAAACAGAACCACAAGGAAAATCTGGTGGCTGCTTTGTATTTTGTTAAGGCTTTATATTGAGTCTCTCCTGCTTTCCCTCTGGGATCAGGTGGATAAGTGCTTGGTCAACTTTTCTAAAAATTCATACAGTTGGTGCTTCCTATGTGACCTTTTTGTGTTTGACTATCTTGGAACGTGAATACATTTATGGATTGCCATTCTGAACAGAAATTTCTCTGCAATAAATGTTAGCACAATATTGGCAAGTCACCCAGAACACATCCAAAACACACGGCCCGAGTTTCCGTTATTTTATTATTGTTTCTTTAATTATAGTCTTTGCTGGAGCTCCCCCAAAGGTACAATCGCAATCAAATGATTCTGATGAAAGGTCATAGACTGGTTCAGCTGGCAGCAGAGACAAATGCACTAAAGCAAGAAGATTTTCAAGTCTGTCTTCATGGTGACCCCAACGAGGCCAGCCTAGAGAGACAGGCCTTGTCTTCTGTGCAAAAATTCAACTTCCTAGTTGTTCTGTAGAGCACCATCTATACAGGGCTCTGCCACCAGGCCGATGGGGGTCGGGGGTAGACCCTGGCCTTCCAGTATCTCACCCCAGCCTGGACACCCAGCCCTGCCACTTAACCCAGGCAAGTGTCCCCTCAGCCCCACGGAGAGATCACCTCCCACCTCCCAGAACTGGAGCATAAAATGGATGTGGATGTTAACTGCTACCAAAGGGCCTGGAACTCGATTAGAAGGTGCTTCAGAAATTTCATTTCCTCCCTCCATCTCTTCCTTATTTCCTCTGTTTCTGTGAATTAAGCAGACAGCTTGGTCCCCTGATGCATGGTGGGGCATGAGGATGAAGGCAGCTCCCTGGCGCCCTGCCCTGAGAAGGGGCCAACAGTGACTGAGCTATTGCCCTCTAGGAGGTTTCGTCAATCCAGAACAGCCCTGAGCATCTCCAGGCCTCATCTCCCTTTAGCCTGGACCCTCCGGATCCTGGAGGGGAACCAAGTGAGGACCAAGGGTCCTGAGCCCCAGTCACTCAGCCTGGAAGGCTTCTTCTATTTCAGGCTTGAATAAAAAATCAGAATAACAATACCTTCATTTAAAGGTTACACTCAATTCTCCAAGCACTTAACCCATCAGCTCAATGATTTGATAAGGGCAGACAACCACCTCCCCATTTTACAGATGAGGAAACTGAGGTACAAAAAAGTGACCTGTGAAACATCCTAGGGCTAATTTCACTTGAGGCCATTCCATCCAGTCCAGGGCTTTTCCTTGCAAACTTTACCACTCCCCAGGAGTCAAAGGGCATATGTGGCTTTAAATAGAAGCTTTCTGAAAGTTCTCCTAGTAATACTCCTGTTTTGTTTTTTTTTTAACTGCTTTATGTTCATCCAGAAACCAAACACCAAAGATACAAATAGCAACTCAAAATCATGACAGATTCCCAGGCAGCCCCCCTCCCATAAGCCCATGCAAAGATTCGCCTACTGTGACCTGAGATGAGATCGTGGTTCACAAAGAGGGGCTCAAAGCCAACCAGGTGAAGCAGGAAAGACACCAGGTTCTGAACTGCAGTTCAGATGGTCATCAAACAGCAGCTTCTCTTGTCCCAACTAGCCCCGAGCTGACCGCTCGGTGCTGTTTATTCATGTAGACAAAAGAAACCCATATACAACACGGGGTCCTACACAGCACTACTGGACACTGAACAAGGAAACTCCCACAAGGCTCCGACAGGAGAACTTGAATGCAGTTTATTTTTCTCAGCATCTATTGCACATCTGGGGGAAGAAGGAACATATGACATTACTTGTGGCTTCCCTGGAATAAATACAGGCTTCTCATCCCCTTCAACACACTACTTGGAAAACAATATATGTGTCACAGCTGTTGGAATACTGGCGATACTATGCCCAATCTGCAACCTGGCCACTGGCCAAGGTCACTCTGCAGGACACAGCTGGGCTGGGCTTCTTCTTACCAGTAGGCTCTGGCATCCCCCAAGACGGTAAGTAGAGAACTAGCGCGCAGGGTCACCTGTGATCCTCCCGGCAGTTCTGTGAGGCAGCTGGTTTTATCCCTGTTTTTCAGATGGCTACACTGAAGCTCAGGGAATTTAAGTAACTTGCCCCAAATTCAGAGTAACGGGCATATCTTGAGTGTCGAAGGTATGCTGGGTCCTGCTAGCGCATACTTTGGTGGGGACGACAGTCACAAGAGCAGGCTTCACACAAGGTGAGTGGAATGGAGGGTCCACAGTTTCATTTAAAGCCAGATGGCTCCATACCCACAGGGCTGTGCACTCATGGAGGATTCTTTTCAGTGAGCCCAGGTGCTATGTTTTCTTTAAAAACACAGCAAGCTATTTTTTTAAATTTCTTTGGGATTTTAATAAAGCATGTATGGAATAACCAAATGGCAAAGCAGAAAGGAAACTCAAAGGCTGGCCAGTCCAAACCCTCATCTTGGGTGAGAATGCTGTGGTTCAGAGATGGAGTGGGTCTCCCATGGTCATAAAGACCAATCCGAAGCTTCAGATACCACTCAGCTCAAGCTGCCTCCTTCTCATTACTGGACATGTGTGCCCTACACTTTCATCACTGGCCACGCCGCTGGTGAGCTGCCCTGTGGAAAGTGCTGGCAGCATCTTTCCTGGGAGCTCAGCCCCAAGTCAAAGATGGCATCATGGGCAGCTCCTGGATCTCCGCCCTCAAACTCTTCTGGCCCCCAGAACACCCACCTCAGAAGGAAGGTTGTCCAATGCCTCAGGGTCACTGAGTTATGGGCAGATCGCCAGTGCCCTTTCTCCTTCCCCACAATGTCTCCTAAATAGACAGAAACTCAACTGACATTAGTCATAAACATCTGAGTTGGCCTCTTGTCCCAATTCCATGCCATCTCAATTAAGTACTGCTAAGCAGAGCTAGATCTGATGTGGCAAACCTTTAACCAAATATCCCATTATCATCCCCTCGTGAGTCACCCTGGCCCACAGTCATCCTCCATAGAGCATCGAGGAGCAGTTAATCCAATTAGGATAAGACTTAAAATCATATACCAAATCCCTAAGAAAAAGTATAAAACAATAAAAGTTATGTTCATTGTATATATCTGGTCAGTGGAGAAGCCCCACATGTCCCTAAATCATCAACGATGATCAATCCTCTGTCTCTAATGCTAATAACTAGTTCATCTCTGCCACAGAGAGTAATGCAAGCTCCATGCTCAGGCCTGCTAAGACCTTGGTTCCCTCTGCTGTGGTGACAAAAGCAAGGACACAGAGTGTGGGACCCAGTAGGGTACAAACTATCACCAGATAAGACGAGGTGGCGTCTCCCTTTCCAATCATCTCAACATGCTCCCGAAAGGTGATATGGTGAGTAAACATCAGTAAATGGAAGGATATTTTAGATTTGCTAGGATACACGAGGAAGTTTACTGTCAATCATTTCATAAATAAAACAAAATTCTTAGGTTTAGCCCCTAGGTCTTTTTCAGCTATTAGATGTGTGTTGGGGGAGTTACGGGAGCCATGGATTCCTTACTCTCCTGGGCGTTACTCCTGTCCTCTGACACACAGCTCAAGAGGGGGCTTTGCTCCCATGAGAAATGCCCAATTTCACGGCCAGCTTCTGATTTCAGAAGCAAAGACTGACACATGATCCCTACCATCCTAACAACGTCTAGGACAGGAGATCCCTTTCCAGAATAGCTGGTTTCCCTGTCCACAGAGAAGCTGAAAAGGTCACTGCTTATTCCTACAAAGCCCACTTCAGACCCACTGGCTGAAGCTAGAGAAAAAAAATTAAAAACCACAGTAGATTTCATAGAGATTTCATGCCCTGTAGCTTCCTTCTTGTCGTTCTGATGTTAGCTAAGATCTGTGAGCAAAAATAACCGGCTTCAAATATACTAGGTAACTATGGAAATAAATTAAGCCACTGACACTGGCTTGATAAAAAGCAGACCACTGAGACGATGACAAGCTAAGGGGAGAGCAGAGGGAGCCAGCGGGGCACCCAGAGTTAACCCTTTCCCAAGCTACACGCTTCATTTGGATTATCTTTTGGTTCTAAAGATGTGATTAGTATTTAAGCCTCATGTGAAACAAGTGAAGACGATGATGCCACCATCTTAACCTGACTTACAGGAGACAGAAATGTAGAGGAGTCTTCACATTGTTTATCCACCTGGAACATTCCTCTTACGTGTGTGTATGTCTAAAATTCACTTGCTGGGCCAAATGATAACAGGTATTGCTAGTATAATCCTTCTATCCCCTTTTACCCACAACTGCGATCACAAAATGAATAAACTGGAATTATAAAATAAGTCACATGAGACTCAAAGATGGAAATCGAGTCGACCAAGGCACCCGCAGGTTTTGGAAAGTGTGTTATTGAATATGTGATCACTACATTTGCCAAAATCAAAGGTCCTTTGCTCCCTATCTGGTCACATATTTCTCAGTAAAAATATGGTCCCTGCAGAGCAAGTGAAACAGGAATTACTCAGATCATATCGGCAGCCAGATGAACACTTCAATGCTTCCCAAGAACTGTTACTTTTTATTTTCAGGGTTTGGCATGAGATCTCATCCAATATTTAAAACTACAGACAGGCAGCCTGCCTCTTGTATCACCCACCCAGAAAAGCCACTCGCGCAGCAGCATCAGGACTGTGAATATGAGTGTCCAGGTTTTAATACGGGGGTTCGGGTAGTGACACGTATGATGTGGGGTGTCTCATCGCAGAGTGGGTCCCGCTTACGGCAAGAGTCTTTAGAAAGGAGCAGCTCCCACCAGTCTGCCTCTAGGTAGCTCCCCCACATCTTTGGGGACATAGGGGTCCTTTCTTTTCCCCACTGTCAGAAGCACTGCAGAGATGTTGGGAAGCTGGACCAGCTCACATCAGGGGCTGGAAAAAGATATTATTTTTCTGGGGCCAGGGAGGTGAGGGAGGGTCCATGGTCAAAACACCAGGCTGATTTTTTTCTAAACTCTCTGCCCACTGATTAAAAATTGCAATCAACAACTCACTGTTTGGGCCTTTACTTGTTCAGCCTGGTACAACCAGGGAGAGCCCAAGAAGGCGAGAGAAAGGCAGAGTTTGACCTGTATTAATTATTTTTTAGTAGCTAAACGTACAAACTGTGCAACAGTGAGCAGGAAAGAACGGGAAGGGAGGAAGACACCTGGACAGCCAGTCTGGACACCTGACTCTAGTCCTGCTGCTGGTGTGGGCAAACGCTTTCTCCTGAGTGGCAAACCCCCTTGTCTATAAAAATGCTAGAACTGGCCCAAAAGCCTTTGCTACAGTCTCTTCCAGCTCTGATCCTCCATGTTTTTAACTACTCTTTAATCAGAAACATATTAACCAACTGTAAAATGCTGTTTTAAACACACTTGTTTACAACACTGAAAACGTGAGTCACACATCTTGTTGGTAATTGAAGATGTGATTGGCACAAATTACATCAAAAGACTATTTGCAATGGCTCACAAGGGAAGATTCTGTAAAGGGAAATGGAATGTATTTATCACTTCTCTGAGCAGAGCCGTGGAGTACCCAGAAATGCTGCAACTCCCCAAATTCATATCTACTGGGCTTGGAAAATACTAGAAAAATTACAAATCATGGTCATTTTGGAGAGAGAACAGAGTTCACTCAATTGTTTTGCCGACACCAATATTAAAATTTGTTTGCATTTCCACATTACAAGGCAGCACTAGGGCCGGCCCCGTGGCTTAGCGGTTAAGTGCTCGCGCTCCACTACTGGCGGCCCGGGTTCATATCCCGGGCGCGCACCAACGCACCGCTTCTCTGGCCATGCTGAGGCTGCGTCCCACATACAGCAACTAGAAGGATGTGCAACTATGACATACAACTATCTACTGGGGCTTTGGGAAAAAAAACGAGGAGGATTGGCAATAGATGTTAACTCAGAGCCGGTCTTCCTCAGCAAAAAGAGGAGGATTAGCATGGATGTTAGCTCAGGGCTGATCTTCCTCACAAAAAAAAAAAAAAAAACTGTTAAAAAAAAAAAAAAAAAAAACAAGGCAGCACTAGAAGATGAAGAATCTTTTGAAATCTGCTTGGTAGCAGGGGGAACCAGTTAGGGAACCAGTGAAACTTTTGCTCTAGATAAGTTCCAAAGTGGATTACTCACTACAGAATAGACTAAATTTCACAGGTCACGAAACAAAATTAGGTTTTCTCTTGGAAGACAATTTTTTTTTGGAGCCCCAAACATGAGCCTTGGGTGGCAGCAATGTCCAAGAATTTGGAGTATTTAATAGGGGAAAGGTCTCACTGGCTTTAAACAAGCTTTTTCCCCATGGCATAAGCAAAGCATTAAAACCAAGAATGGGATTTTATAAAAGCTTTTCATTTGTTATCTGCATTTGGGAGACTGGACACTCACGTCATTCCAGCCGAGTTTCTAAGTATTACACTGTACAGCTAGTAACGTTCACGCCCAAGTGACTGGCAAGGCATTATTACAATAATGTCCTCAATTTTCCCATATAGTATTTGAGCTGTTTGCTTTCTCAGAATACAAAACCCTGAGCTGTTTTCCGTAATTATACCAGGTGCGTTTTAAGAAGCGCTCTTAGTCTTGAAAAAAGAAAGAAACAGCCGTGCAACTACTGAGGTCTGTTTGGTTTCCCTCCTGAAGAAAGAGGAACTGCCAAATGCCACCTTGATAGTGGTGCTTCTTGGTGGGCTCACAGTCAGTGCATCCTCGCTGGGTTAATTTGCTCAGTGTACTTTATGCAGCAGCTTCCGAGTATTGCTTGACACAGACTGGAGGGCTGGACGTGGCTTGGGATTGTTAAAATTGATTCAATGGCATTACTCAGCCCAGAAAATCAAATTGTAAAGTTTATCATGTGCTTCCTTCTGACTTGCCACGGGTACGTTACCAGCAACCTCCGTGTGTCCAAGGGCCGCCTGTGCTGGGGGAAGGCCAGATCTGCCGTACCCTCTCAGCCTCCGCCGCCACCCCAGGCCTCATCACTCATTGACCCCCACCCCCCAGAGCTGGCCCCACTCTCAGAAGGGCTCTCTGCTTGGTTAAATGCTCTGTTGCTGCTGTCTTGAAATGCTTAATAATATTTGAACAAAGGGCCCTGCAAATTTGTAGCCAGTCCAGCTCCCCCTTCCCTAAGCCAAAGCCCTGGTGAGTGGCAAGACGTCCCTGCTCTCAGCCGACAAGGGATGCTTGGCTCTTCAACTTGGCTTTGGAACCTCTAGTGGCTCCCAAGTACCCCCCCAACAAAACCCCACTCCCCTCTCGGCCTAGCACTTGGGCCTCCTGTAGCCAGCCCTGCCCGGTCCCCCTGCCCTGCCCTGCCCTCTTACTTCACCCTGGCCGCTCCTACCTCCTCTTTTCCATCTCTAGTCTACGCCTTGTTCACGCTTCCAGGCCTGGCTCACAAGTGTGACTCTGGGCACTCCCCTCCCTGCCATTTTTTTGCATTTCTGCCTTTGGGGCTACACCATTTACGTGGCAGCCCACCCCATCACCCGCACTGTACCAGCTCCCTCTCTCTGCAACCGACACCTTCAGGGGCTGCCTCTTCCCCTCCAATGCAAGCCCCCATCCTGTGCTTTGAGCCCCCACGGACCAGGCAGAGCTGGGTCACCCCAGCTGTAGAAAAACAAATACCTGCTGAATGGCCACCAACAATGGAGATGTGAACAATTATTCAAAATAATGTGGGTCCAAAAAAATCCAGAACATCCAGATTAATACAAAGCTAGTTTAGGCATTATTTGGGGCATCATTAGTTAGTTTGAATCATCCAGAAAACAGCTTCAATTCTCTTCCCACTGTGGACACAGCTCAGTAACTGGCAGAGGGAAGAACTGTTACACTGTTACCATGTTACACTGTTACCTGTTACCATGACCTCAGCATCAGCTAGGAGTTTCATCACCGCAGCTGGACTACTGATGATCTTTTCCCACGTTCCCCACCCCATCATCTACCCGAGCCGGCCGTCACCACGCCTCCTCTAAAGAAACCACCCTGGCTTTCTACAAGGAAGTGCACGACCAGGGGTGGAAGAGAAGAGAAAGCCGCATGGCACATAGAAGCCAATGATGATGGCCGTGGTGGCTACAGAGTTCTTGTTGCCCCAGGGCGATACTGACGAAGGCACTTATGAAATCTGGTATTTGACAGAATCAAAGTTCTCCCACTCTGGGAGGGCCTCTTTATTCTGTTTTTGTTTTGTTTTTTTAATATTTTCTTACTTTTTAAGCAACAGAGGTGGCACTGAAAAGGTCGAACAAACAGGAAATCACGATTAACTAAGGACAGACACATAAGGGAAAGGAGACTGGACTTTTCCCCAGCTCACCCACCACTGCTTCTCCAGATTCTGATCAGGGAATGAGAATCAGAATCGCAGAAGGAAATGAGCTTGGAACAATATAAATACAAAACTCTTTGGCCAAGATAATATAACCTACCTGTTGGTCAACAGTCCTATGAACGGGTTGGTGAGGAGCTGGACGGTGGCTTTAGAGGCAAACAAAAGGCCGACTTGCACGTTTTCATTCAGGAGGTCTTTGTCTTGACTGGGACAGTCGGGAGGCGCCATGGACGTGTTGGTCACCGTGTGCTGGGTGGTGGTCTTATGCAGCAGCCCCTCCTGAAGGTCTCTGGTGTGGTTCCCAGTGACCAGGGTGGAGTTGTCATAATAGGAGAAGATGCTCTGGAAGCTGCCTGAGGCGGAGGCTGTGAGCACTGGCTTGGCAGTCTGGATCTCTGTAGTATTTTTCTCATGCTCAATGCTGTACAGGTAACTTGGGATGATGGGGACTGCAGACGAGCAGAACAGCGAGGCTGTGATTGCACTGAAACCCTCCCCCGGGACAAACGCCAGCAAAACTACAGTCACATCAAATGCCAAACAAGGCCCAGAGAGGTGGTATGTCTACCCCAGGAATGGGACCCCGCACCAGGCGCCCACACTGACACTGGAACAATTTCACGTTGCTTAGCTCCCTAGAGAGAACAAAGCCCCCAGCAGGTGTGCGAGCCTGTTTGCTTTCAGGCCAGCAACTGTGCAGAACTGCCCGGCCCCAGAGATTCTAGTCCTTTGTGGGGTCTCACAGCACAGGGTTCCTTCACAGGACTATTTTAAGAAAGCAGAATGTGGTCTGAAGTCTAGTCAGTGCTGACCTGGGGTCAATCGGGGCTTCTCCGAGACTGAGACAGACCTTTAAATGAATGAAGCAAGGAAATAGCAACCTAAATTTCATTATGTGTCTCAGAAAAAAATAAACCTGCAGGAAGTAATAATTTGGAAATTCTGCAAAAGACCCACTTCATCTCTCTATTACTTGAGTGGGAACCTGCAATTTTTCATACAACCTGGAAGACATTCCTGAGACTTTCATAAAAGCAAAGAAAACCTGTTTGATGTAATAGAAGCTTTGGACATGTGCATAAAAAGAGAGCATTCTACACAAAGGAGAACTGAGGCCCCTGTCACTGAACTCAGATGAGCCCCACAACTCTGATAATCCTTGAGGGGAAAACCTGACTATGATGCTCTGAAACTGTCAGGAGGGAACCTGCAAATGGAGAGAAAGGAAATAACCCACACCTAAGGTCCAAATAAAACATCTTTTTTTATTCATTAAAAATTTGGATATTTTTAAGGAAAAACATGGCAAATGCTTTGCTGTTAATGGGTTTAATTAAGAGACCTGGATTTCAATTATTTAGTTTTTCAAAACTCCATTATAGGAAAAAGGCTAAAACCAACACTGTTCAAATTGCTCTTGAAATGGTCGCGAAATGTTTCCATCTCAAGTCATTCACTGATACAATATATTTAAATGTCGATTCCCTTTTTTGGAGGGAGGGATGTTGACTTGTTCCTGTGGATGTTACACCAAATTATTAACCCGCCTTTTCGGGGAGCATAATAATTATTACAAAATTATTTTGAACCCCGGGAATTGCTAGTCCTTGAAATCTTTTTCATCACTGTGAAAGTGGGCAGGGGGAAGCAGGAAATTATCAGGAGGAAACACACGCTCTGGATCTTATCGGATGTCACATTTTTTTGACCTGACCACCAGCAAAACGAAGCCACAAACGCGGCTCCTATTAGCCCAGGAGCGGCAGTCTTGGGGGATGTATTTTGGCAAAGCGTGTTCTCCAACTTCCCCGGACCGCGCTCGTCTAAATGGGGCGCCCGGGGAAGCGGTGCCCGGGGAGGCGGACGCCGGGTCCGTACGTACTCACGACGGTGAGCAGCATGTTGTCCAGCAGCAGCGCGAGGTACACGATGAACAGGATGAGCTTCGGCGAGTGGCGGCTCTCCCGCAGCCAGCGGAGCGGCGCCAACTCGCTCAGGGCCATGGCTCCGGCTCCGGGGCTCGGCTGCGGGCGCGGCGCGCGGTCAGGGGCCGTGGTGGGCCGGGGGTCCCCCACCCCAGTGCTCAGACTTACCGGGCCAAAGGGGCGGCGAGGGAGCCGCGCGCACGGGCGGCGCGGGACGGTCCCGGGCGCCCACCCGCGGCTCACCTGCCGGGAGTGCGTCCTCACGAGCACCTGCGCTCCCCGTTCCCCACGCCCCGAGCGCCGCCGGGGCCCGAACCTGGGTCTGCAGGGTGCTACCCCGCTCCCCACCGCCCCGAGGGTCCCACTTCTCCGACTGCGCGCTCGGAGAGCGCCCCGCGCCCCCGCTTTCCCGGGCCGCCCAGGAGCCCCGCGCGCAGCGCCTCGGGGGGCTGCCCCTGCTCCCCGCCGGACCCCCCTCACCCCCAGCGCCGGGCCCTGCGGGCAGGGAGCGGGGCCGGCGTTACCTCGGGGTCGCCTGCGCTGCCGGCCCTGGCCGCTGTGGGCTCCGTCCGTCCAGGCGGCTCCGGGCGGCAGTCTCCACCCCAGCGCCCGGCCGCCACCGCTCAGTTTACCGGGTCCGGCTCTGACGTCACGGCCGGCGCGGGGGGCTGGGGCGCCCCGGCCTCCGCCCACCCGCCGGCGCCGCCCCTCCGCCACCTGCCCAGACCCGCGTCGCCCTGTCGGCTCTGCGCCTGGTCCCCGAGGCTGCGCCGTCCTAAGCCGCCCGGAGCGCAGCCCCTCGCCCGGCCCGGCACGTGGCCGCGCACCCTGGGGACCCGGGCGCAGGGGAAGCGGCTGGGGCGCAGAGGGAAGAAGTCAGGGAGGCCAGGACGATGGGTCAAGGGCCCCAGATGAAGGGTCAGGGGCCAAGGTGAGAAGTCGGGGATTCGTGCTTTCATCTGGCCCTGCTCTTTGAGCCTCACTGTCCCTGAAAATGGCCATAAGGACATGAAGGCTACTGGGTGAGTGTGCCAGGGAAAGGCGTCACGGTGCTGGGAGCCCAGCACAGATCTGTCTTTGCTGGGGAAGCCACTCTGCACCCCACCACCCCTCCCACCTCCCACCTCTGGAGCATGAGGGAAGGTGCCACTTGGAGCCTTTGACCCTCAGGTCCTTGGGTACCCTCAAGCTGGTGATGTGGAAACTGAGAAAAGAGGACACCTCTCAGGGTCACCCCACAGTGGGAGTGGGGATGTGAGGGCCCAGGCCCTTGAGTCCAGGTCTCAAAAAGTGGGAGCAGTGGGCCTGGGCCTCTGGGGCCACCAGGAGCACGTCACCCTGGGCAGGAGGACACTGGAGACTAGGTGAGTGCCAGGAGCCTTAGTAAAAGTGCTCGGGGGCAGCGGCCCTGGCCCTGTGTGCTGTCGTCCTCTCCCCTCCGTGCCATGGCTGTGTCAGGGGAGTCTGGTTAAGAGATGGTTAAGACAGCCATGTGCCTGTTTGTGGCTGATCCAGAGCTGGAATCCTCACTGCCGAAGGTAAGAGCCCTTACCCTTGATTTCCAAGTCCCTCCATTTTATAAACAGAAAAGAAACAAACAGAGGTCATCCCCCTGACATAGCTGGAGCTTTGGAGACCCTTTTAGGGGGCGGGAGGAACAGGAGCTATTTTCTTGAAAAGCCGCTTAGAATAAATGTTATCCCGCTGCAGTCTCTTAGCAATAGAGTCTGGCCTTGTTTTATTAATGTTTGCTTGGTGTCAGCTGGAGCCTGCTTAGAGCAGCAGGGTGATATGTGGTGCTCCCCACTCTCTCCACCTCCTCCCTTCCTTCCAGACTCCCCCCTTGCTTGCCATTGCTGCCCCTGATGTGTGAGAAAGATGGTTGGATAAGTAAGTAGGTCAGTAACATGGGGACTCAGGGATGTCCCACGGTGTGTGCAACTTAAATATTAAACAGAGAGGAGAGAAGGAAAGCCACTTAGGAGGAGAGAGCAGATGGCAGGGAGCTGTTTAAGATGGCTGTGAAAGGTACCACGTTCATGGAGTCCCCTGAAGTGCTAGAGTTTCAGAGCCCAAAGCCGCAGGCCCTGCCCCCGCACTCCCTGGGGCAGAGGGGTGTCATGGTTAAGGAAGCAGGTCCAGATGCCTGGGTTCCAGTCTGCTGCTTCCTCGATTGGTGACCTTGGGCAGATTATGTATCCTCTCCGTGCCTTAGTTTCCCCATCTCTGAAATGGGGATACGAATTGGACCTACTCCAGTGCTGTTGTGAGGATTAAATGGGAAGGCACAGGCATCTCTTAACACAAAGTGAGAGCTCAGTAAGTGTCCGCCATTCATTCATCCAACAAATATTTGTTGAGTGATTACTACATGCCAGGCACTGTGGTTGATGCTGAGGAGACAGTCGTGTCCCAGACAGACAAAAATCCCTGTCTTTGGCTGCTTACACATCTGGTAGCGTCGCCACAATGGTGAACACAGGAAGCCACACCAACTCCAGCCCAGCCCCCTGGAGGAGGATGGTGCCAGGGAAAATGCCCATTCCTGTGCTCCCTCCTCCTGTCTCTGCCGCCACCCCTACAGCACCATGGCCTGCAACAGGGTCTTCAGACTTTTTGTTGACACCCCCTAAAAGAATTTTTTTTAATATATATGCCTCACACATTTTTAAGTTGGCGTCTAAAATGGTTTCTTATCATAAATTTGAATAGTTTGGTTTATATCATGTATATTGACCTATGCATGTAAAACCATTATAACTTTTAAATGTACCCAATGGAATATAAGTATTATAAGAATGCAGAACCACCATATTATACTTATACAAACAAGTTTCTCTTTAACAGTAAAAAATTTACGTTGTTTTCGTTATGCCTTCAAAGTATATTTTCATTCCACTTCCAACAGAATTTTATCCAACTGTAATTATCATTTAAATTCTTTCGTCGTCACCTGATCTATTAAATGAACTGCAACAAATATATAAATATACATTAGCTTTTTAAATTTTTCTTATGGCCGTAAGGCTCTCAATTTTAAATTTCCCTTTAGGATTGTGTTATTATAACAATAACTAGTAGTATATAAATGATCAAAGCATCATACATATAATACGAATTTTGATAAATAATTATCAAACATAAAAAGAAAAATTGTATTAGAAGTGCATTACTTACTGAGATGGATTGGGAGAGGATTTCTGGGGCCCTGATAAAAGAGACACCAGTATTGTCTCAGGATGTTTTTATGCCTCAGGACAATGTAACAGTAAAATGTAAGAGTCAGGTTAGGTGAGAGGTGAGCCTTTCCTTTGTCCAGTGGGAGACAGGAGATTGTTGAAAGGGGAGGGGATAAAGGAGCATCCTCATGTCTGTAACTGGGTCCATCTCAGCCAGATCAATTTTAAAATAGAGGACATATGGAAATTGAGAGTCTCTAGTCTCTAGTCTTCATGTATACCCAATGTCCTGGTGTTCCTGGTTGAAGAGCCAGCCTGGGAGGCCTGCCTGGTCTGGGTCTTTGGGACTCCACAGCCTCCTCTTAACCCACTCAGCTCCCATCTTCTCCCTCCAGCTGCACTGGTTCTGCTCAGTGTTTCTCTGCCTCAGGACCTTTGCACATTCTGTTTCCTCTGCCTAGGAAGTTCTTCCTCTTCTCCTAGTTATCTCCTTCTCATTCTTCATTACCAGCCCTAATGTTACTTCTTAGGGGAAGCCATCCTTTCGTGGACACCGCCCCCAGTATCAGACAAGTACTTTTCTTATAAACCCTCATGGAATCATTACTTCCTCCAGAATATGTCTCCCATATCTGTCCATGAGGAACAATACTCCCATAAGTGTGATCAGTTTTCTCTGTCTCCCCAGGTATCAGGACTGGAGACACTCTTTTTGCTCATCACTGAGATCCCAGAACACAGTCAATGCTCATTAAATGCCTGCAAAGAAGATACACACTGGGTGGGTGGGGTTTCCTTCTGATGCAGAGCCCTGAGAGCCAGAGAGAAAAGCACCTTTGCTCAAAGGGGAAGGTTACATTCCTGTCTCCCTCTCCCCAGCTGGACCCACTCCTCGAGGACAGGGTTGAGGATGTCCCCTTGTGAGCACAACTTTTATTTGTTCTCCCTGGAACTCTGACTGGTGAGCTCAGCCATCCAGCCCCCTGCCTCCACCCTTATCATACACTAGGGACTGGGAAGGTACAAGGTACCACCAGGGTTGACTTTCTTCACTAAATGTCAATATTTAGGAATGATAAGGCATGGAGCCACCTGGAATATAGCAGTTATTTGAAATAGGCATTATTAGGGATAAACTAACGTGAGTTTAAACTATAGATAGCATCCTGACTGGGTCACTTTTGTAAGTTATGTGACTTTGGGCATGTTACTAAGCTGTTATGTGCCTCAGTTTCTCTTCTGTCACTCAAGCATGATAAGAGGCTCCCCTCACAGAGTTGTTATGGGGATTAAGGAAGATGATCCTTGCATTGCGCCTGGCACGGAGCAGATGCTCACACTCATTAAGTGTTCTCTGGCGTTGGAAAAGTGAAAGTGCTGAATGCGTGGAAGGGGTAGGTGGTCCACGGGGGAAATCCTCAGGTGCTCCTCCAACCAGAGAACTTAGAAATAAGGAAAACAAACTTATCCCTTGGGCATTAAGCTGTGAAATGCAAATAATGGGTCAGAGAGGAAACGAACAAAGGCATCCTGAAGAGACACGATGGTTCCTAGGTTAGCAAAACCTGATATACTAGTTAGCACCTTGGTAACTAGTGGAATACCTGGTGGAGAGCCGGGCACAGGGTGGAACAGGCAGTTCATAGAAGGGGAAGCCCAAATGGCTACCAAGCTCATGAAGAGACACTCAGACACACTAGTGAGCAGAGAAATGCCAATTAAAACAATAGTGAGCTATGCCCATGGGACTGGCAACAATTAGGAAGTTGGGTAAATGCCATTTGTTGGTGAAGATGTAAAGAAACGGGGACGGTGCAGCCTTTCTGGAAAGCCATCAGGAGTGCTTGGTGGAATTAAGTCAGCGCACACCCTCCGATCCAGTAATCTCTCTCCCTGTCTGTGTCTCAGGGAAATCCCTACGGGGACAAGAACGAGGATAGTCACGACAGTGTTATCTGCAGCAGCGGGGGTTGGAGGCAACCTCGGTTGCCATCACTAGGGAATAAATAGGCGAAATGTGGATGCTCAAGGTGAAGCACCATGTAGAAGGGACACACTGGATCACCCACGTGTCTGTGCACAGATTTTATGACGTCTTGAGTATGAAAGAGGAGGAGAAGAAGAGCAAGTTCTGCAGCAGGATTCCATGTTGGTTCATTGAAAGCACACAGAGCACCACTACCTCTTATGGAGGCTTCATTCCTCTTTAAGGGTATGTATTAAGCACACTGGAGTGGATACCTTTGTGAGGGACGGACCTAGGAGTGGGGCTCTGGGATGAGGTGGGAAAGTGGAAATAAACCAAAAAATGGACCTTGCAAGGACCAATGACCATAGTATGCCCAGAGACAGATGATCAACTCAATTCTCTGTACACAAGTTTCCCCGTAAAAGGGGCTGTCAGCTGTGGATGCCTAGAGAAGGC